GAGAAAACGGGGGTTAGTCTGTTTAGAGTGGAGAAAGACGGGAGGTTAGTATGTTTAGAGCGGAGAAAACGCGGGTTAGTCTGTTTAGAGTGGAGAAAGACGGGAGGTTAGTATGTTTAGAGTAGAGAAAACGGGGGTTAGTCTGTTAAGAGTAGAGAAAGACGGGAGGTTAATGTGTTTAGAATAGAGAAAGACGGGAGGTTAATGTGTTTAGAGTAGAGAAAGACGGGGTTAATGTGTTTAGAGTAGAGAAAGATGGGAGGTTAGTATGTTTAGAGTAGAGAAAGACGGGGGTTAGTCTGTTTAGAGTAAAGAAAGATGGGGGTTAGTCTGTTTAGAGTAGAGAGAGACGGGGGTTAATGTGTTTAGAGTAGAGAAAGATGGAAGGTTAGCATGTTTAGAGTAGAGAAAGATGGGGTTTAGTCTGTTTAGAGTAGAGAAAGATGGGGCTTAATGTGAAAAGAGTAGAAAAAACAGGGGTTAGTCTGTTTAGAGTGGAGAAAGACGGGAGGTTAGTCTGTTTAGAGCAGAGAAAGACGGGGGTTAGTCTGTTTAGAGTAGAGAAAGACGGGAGGTTAATCTGTTTAGAGTAGAGAAAGACGGAGGTTAGTCTGTTTAGAGCGGAGAAAGACGGGAGGTTAATGTGTTTAGAATAGAGAAAGACGGGAGGTTAATGTGTTTAGAGTAGAGAAAGACGGGAGGTTAGTCTGTTTAGAGTAGAGAAAATGGAGGTTAGTCTGTTTAGAGTAAAGAAAGATGGGGGTTAGTCTGTTTGGAGTAGAGAAAGACGGGAGGTTAGTCTGTTTAGAGCGGAGAAAACGGGGGTTAGTCTGTTTAGAGCAGAGAAAGACAGAAGGTTAGTCTGTTTAGAGTAGAGAAAGACGGGAGGTTAGTCTGTTTAGAGCGGAGAAAACGGGGGTTAGTCTGTTTAGAGTGGAGAAAGACGGGAGGTTAGTATGTTTAGAGCGGAGAAAACGGGGGTTAGTCTGTTAAGAGTGGAGAAAGACGGGAGGTTATTATGTTTAGAGTAGAGAAAACGGGGGTTAGTCTGTTAAGAGTAGAGAAAGACGGGAGGTTAATGTGTTTAGAATAGAGAAAGACGGGAGGTTAATGTGTTTAGAGTAGAGAAAGACAGACTGTTAGTTTGTTTAGTGTAGAGAAAGACGGGAGATCGTTTTGTTACTGGTAGAGACGCGCGTGAGGTTAGTTTGTTGGGAACGAACACATATTGTTTTGTTTCAGTCAATGTGATCTTAGTAAATAAGTGTGCTGTCAATTCTGTAAGTGACATTCAATTCTAAGTATATCTTTATTGAAAACGTAATGTATCAAAGGGGTCGATTTTTTTATGATCAATGATAAATCTGTATCGATGTTTTTGTTTAAACATATGCAATGTGTCGTGGCTAGAATTTCACAATACCGTTGAAAAGTGACTTCCGTAATAACAATCCCGTGATGAAAAATTAGTCCTTTTTGAATTTTTAAATAGCAAACAAATTCAAACGGAAAATTCTTTTGGAAATTAATAAGAACAAACGGTGAAAGGAGGGGAAACGCTTTCAAAATATTGTTTATGTTGATTTTGCGGATGTTTTTGCATTTTGGTTTAGCTCGGGTACCATGTGTGTCCTATCAAAGCGGAAGTTGTTACCATGTGTGACGGGACATAAACGATGCTATCTTCACGGAAATCCGCATACAGCTATCTCTGTAATAATTTTAAAGGCATTATTGCATTTATCTCTGTATATTTAGATTAAGTAGTGTTTTATTTATTTTTTTATAATTAAAGTCTAAAAACCATTGAACTTTAGGGCATTAAGCGCGTTTTTGTTCTGTTTTTAATCTAACAATCTATAATTTGAGGATGGCGATTTTTTCATTTAGGGAGACACAAATGCCGCTAAGTTAGAAGGATTTACTTCCCTTGTTACCGTAGGAACAGGTCTGTTGTGGTTACCGAAATATCTAATTTGAGTTACGTCCCTTCCCTCACAAACAAGTTGAAACATGTTTGGCTTAAAGTCTATATTTAAAATCGTACGCATTTTCATTGGATTATTTCATTCTTATTTAACTCAAATTCTTTCATATAGTGACTTAAAGTGAATTAAACATTTCTAGACTAAGAAAGCCAAGAGAAAAAGGTCTTTCTCAATTTCTGTTCCATTTGCACGGTAAAATCTTATAGCCTTGTATTGAAAACATTAAGATCTAACGCTGCTGTTGTAATAAATTCTACCCAAATTTCTATTGCTTTATCAAATGGAAATATAAAATGCGTATATCAAATTAAATGAATCCTTGATTGACATATTCATCTATCTGTACCCGTGATTGACCGATTCAACTATCTGCATCCGTGATTGACCGATTCAACTCTCTGCATCCGTGATTGACCGATTCATCTATCTGCATCCGTGATTGACCGATTCAACTCTCTGCATCCGTGATTGACCGATTCAACTATCTGTATTCGTGATTGACCGATTCAACTATCTGCATCCGTGATTGACCGATTCAACTCTCTGTACCCGTGATTGACCGATTCAACTCTCTGCATCCGTGATTGACCGATTCAACTCTCTGTACCCGTGATTGACCGATTCAACTCTCTGCATCCGTGATTGACCGATTCAACTATCTGCATCCGTGATTGACCGATTCAACTCTCTGTACCTGTGATTGACCGATTCAACTCTCTGCATCCGTGATTGACCGATTCAACTATCTGCATCCGTGATTGACCGATTCAACTCTCTGTACCCGTGATTGACCGATTCAACTCTCTGTATCCGTGATTGACCGATTCAACTCTCTGCATCCGTGATTGACCGATTCAACTCTCTGTACCCGTAATTGACCGATTCAACTCTCTGTACCCGTTACACTTCGGGATTATATTATACTCTCCATTTGTATTCGAGATAAACCTATTCTATGAATTGCCTGTATCTTCTATGTGTCTAAGTTATCAGATTTGCATGTATCATCTATGTGTCTAAGTTGTCAGATTTGTATGTATCATCTATGTGTCTAAGTTGTCAGATTTGTATGTATCATCTATGTGTCTAATGTATCAGATTTGTATGTATCGTCTATGTGTCTAAGTTGTCAGATTTGTATGTATTATCTATGTGTCTAAGTTGTTAGATTTTAGATTTCAATATTTGTTTCTGTACGTCTGAAAGATATGCCGCGAGCACGTGCTATTTCGCTGTTATTGATAATGACGAGTTGGCTCTATAGAAAACAAGTTTGGATTGTGTCTGCGGGATTATAACCAGTGTTATATATGATTGACATGTCCAACTTCTTGATAAAAAAATCGGGGCCAGAAGCAATCTTACAGAACTCATGCTTCAGTACTTTCTAAGTTATCGTTTCGTAGTTATCTCACACAGTCTCACAGTCCCAGCGTCAGTCCCCAAATTGTACAACGCTTTGTCAATGAACAGTTTACCCGAAGGTATTACCAGACCTCATCAACATTTTATCACAAAATAGTGACATTATTTCAGTTTTGAATGCGATGAAATGAGAAACAAAATCAGTTGTCTTTCTGAAGTTAAAAATCATACTAGCCTCAGATTGATCTAACATAAGTTTGCTCTTTTAAACAAAAGGAGCGAACATATTTTACATCAGATAACAACATAATACCCAACTTTACAAACCTGTATTTTTTATTTGTAAAGTGAAATTCATTCAAATAAAAATATATATATTGTCAATATTCATGATGTAAGTATTACATGATAATTGTGTATTTACTGAAGCAGCAGTGGAAATACAACCTATCTATTTATAATCAATAAATATATATTCTGTAATCCCCTTACCCGTGGGATTTTCTGCAAAGCACGTGTAATTTTCCTAATTAGATATCATTTGGATGTTAATCGCGAACTCAAATTCAGAAGATTTATTGTAAATGTCACTAAACACGAATATCCTATCTTTAATGACATCATAGTCCTCTGTGTTTACTTGATATATTTTTCGTTTTCAAATAGTTTCTCTCTCCGTTAAGATCGCAGTGTGATACATCAATTCATCAAAGGCGTGTCCTCAGTTGTCACCTCGAATGGTTTAGACCAATCAGATGGTCGCGCTTGGGTTGTAAGGCGGAGCTTCGATAAGAGAGTAAATTTCATTCAGAAATGTTCTCACTAGCTCTGGAATGCTTCCATTTCTCATTCATAGATACGATCGCCCGGTGTCTGTGTGCAGTCATTGGTTCATGTAGTCGTTCAGTTCGGGTGGCCTACTTCACCTATAAATAGAAACGTGGGCCGGCAACGCTATTGTATTATAATGTCCACATAATTTCCAATAAAGATAAATATCATTATCATATTGATGTAGGTGTATATTTCAAACAACTGAAACCTTAATTTTCTTTAAAATACCATTGTATCTATTGTTAAATTGTAACAATGCACTGGAAACAACGTGGTCGTTTCCTTCCAACAGCTACAACTGGCTAACTGAAATCTTCACAGATTGAGCTAGATCTTCACTGAAACCAACATACTTTCAACTAGGGGAACGGATGAAACAAGCGATAAACTGAATGTTATCGAACAAAATACACTTAATAAAATGCATTTTCCTTGAAGAACACATCAGGGCTGACCGCTGGAAAGCCGGCTGAGAGACCCCAGTTTTGTTTACGGGAAGGCAAATCTCATGAATATTCATATATGTGTTCAGGATGAAAAACGTGAAATATTGCGTTGATTTAATTCATTAAAAATATTGATACTCCGTGTACAGCTACATATATAACCTATAATTGTATTACAATGATAACTCTAAAGTTATTGATAATGATTATCCATATTTATTACAAAATCTAGACGAACCGTTAACATTCTCCCAACCTAGCCTACCACGCATGCGCAGTCATTGACAAAAAGGGGGCCCTGTGGATAGCAGATCACATGTATTGCTTTACATCGAGAACTAGGGTGGTATATAAGACCAAGCAACACTGACAGATTGTTGGCCGGTGAGCTCTGATGTGAGCAACAGTGCTGCAAGTATCTTACATTTCCAAAATCAACTTACTATCATTGGATAACCGGCCAAACAATATAATTCTGATACCACATTCTACCTCAGACAAAAGATTGCAAACCGACTGCTCCGCGAGGGCTAGCTGTGATATAGACCTCGAAAGCCTACCTTGTGATAGTCTGTGTGGACTGTGTACTATTTATTCTTTACGGGATACATTATTCAATACTGAGTTATATTCGTCTTAATTTATAACAGTGATCCTCCGATCGGGAAAATGAACATGTTGATGTGTTGTGAGACAGAACAGCTCCGGAGAGCTTACAAGGACCCAGTGTTACTTGAAGATGATCGTGTTCTCAACAACTTGCTAATCACCGAAGATCGATATCAGCCATCGCCAACATACTTCAAATGTGTACAAACAGACATTAAACCTTACATGAGAAAAATGGTGGCCGAATGGATGCTAGAGGTATTTTATTTTTTTCCCATTAACCAAGTTTGTCTAATATTTGTTCAGTGTACGGTCGTGTCCATTTGCCGTGTACCGTAGGATCGGTAGAAGAAGAGAAAATATTTCTGTATTTTCATTGATTGATCTTCATGACATCTATATATTCTGAAAATATACTTTCTATTGTTGATGATGGTATATGTATTTATCTTGTGTCGCCTACGGTTTATTTTATATGATTTAATGAAATCTGAGGCGCACGAACTCGCCACCTACATATACAAGATGGCGGGACGTGGAATGCCATTATACTTTATACTTAGTTAGTATTTTCAACTCGTCATAAGTTTTTAATTTCTCGACATCAAGTTGATATTTTTCCATGGTTAGGTAGCAAAAGGTCTGCAGTTTCCGATGCTACCAATATTGCTTGTTAAATTTTGATGTAGACATTTTTTCGAATTTATATTTGTGGAGCAATTTTACGTCTAAAACACCCACGTTTTTGGCTTTTTTTGCAGAGATGGCTTGATATAATCGATTACTATGGATTAATTACAGCTTTTATCCGAATTGTTTTTCCATGGTCACCTAGAATGGGATTTATAGTTTGCATTGCATCAAAAAATTTTGCAATATCTTCAAAATTGTGAATTTTATGATTTTTTTCTGTAACTGCCTAACAAAGAGAATACGACAGATTTCGTGGGCCGCAGATACATACATGCGCACTGGTAACCGGCGAGGGCATGTGCTCTGTGATAGCCAATGTGAATTTTTCTCGACTTTTAGCTCGAATATACTGACATTCCTCTCATATTCAGGCCGAACCATCACCTAAATTTACAAATGGAACTTAGAAAAATTCAGTCGAATTTTCAAATCGACTTTCATGAAAAATTTCTTTGTTCGTTGCGTTATTTTCATTTACTTACGAAATATTCTAAATCAAAATAATTATTTTTGTTATTGTTTTCAGGTCTGTGAAGAACAAAAATGCGAAGAGGAAGTATTTCCATTAGCTATGAATTACTTGGACAGATTTTTATCAGTTATGGACATTCCAAGGAATAGACTACAACTTCTTGGATGTGTGTGCATGTTTCTGGCTTCAAAGTTAAAGGAAACGAATCCGTTGACTGCAGAAAAATTGATCGTCTACACTGACAATTCTGTTGGAATCGAGGAATTAATGGTACATATTTCTTTGTGTTTTCAAAAAAATCCGGAATTACAGTTGTGAATAAAGTCGTAAAATTGCAGGATTTATTTTCATTTTACAAATAATAATAGTAATGATAAAGTTCACTTCTAGGTTAAAATAATCTATTCGCGATGAAATTTTCATAACGATATTTGGTTAAATGCCAAGTGTTGATGGTAGCGTGATGGACAATAACGTAGTACCTATAACAGGTAAACACAGGCCAGGTATGTCAGTCATGCCCCAGGTAATCATCGCTGGCGGATCTACATTCCTGGGTTCGTACTTGATAAATTGAAGCAAAATAAAAGTGTTCACCTTATTGTTTGTCAGGCCGTAACAACTTTTTATCTTTAAAATATTTGATCGTGGTAATGGCACAATTTTAATTTTCATTTCAGGACATGGAATTAATTGTTCTTAATAAACTAAAATGGGACCTATCAGCTGTAACACCACATGACTTTCTCGAACATGTGCTAAGTAGGCTTTGTATGGACAAAGAAAAGTGTGAACTTATCAAGAAACACGCTCAGACGTTCGTGGCACTGTGTTCAACTGGTGAGTACTTGTGACGTCACTAACACGAATTATATTAATATGTACAACTTTGTAGTTGACCCAAATTAATATTGATCTCTGGTGCACCGAGTCATGTGAGCAAATGTCACAACGAAGGTTAGTTTTTTCTTCCCTGCCCATATCGTGCGGTTTTTCACTTGAAGTATGTTTACTATGTTGGAAAGTCATTCACAAAACTTAGGATGAAATAGGATACCCTTTTCAGAACTATATACTGCACGCATTCAACTAGGGTTATAGTGTGTTTCTTCCGACAGGCTCCGCTGATAACGTTAACTGTGACAGCTTGTCATAGTCTATCTCTCTATTCCCCTTGTATATGAAACATGACCTCTACACAACGGAAGTGGTATTATTACTTGACCACTACTAGGCAGGTGGGAGAGATATGGGAAATCCGGGATTAGCCCTTGAAAGAGATTTTGTGGTTAAGTCTATACCTTAGGGATTGGGCAGGCGATTCGTAATCCACTTATTTGGAATAATTTCAGCTGATACATTATCCTGACCTTATTTTATAGGTTTACATTATTTTGATGTAATTTCTCTAAATGTATATTGCATATGGGTAACATAACCTCCTCGGTTTGTAAGTCATCCGGAGTTGTTTCCCTTTCAATTATCAATGCAGCTTTGTCAGAAATCGAACACGATTAGCATTTATGTAATTATCTGTTGATGTGATTATTCCATCAATAGCATTACGTGTACCCGGTCCCTTACACAGACTGTTGTAACCTACCCACTGTTCAGTGAACTTGTGAAATACCATTCTCGCTTTAAACAATCCCGATATACAACCTGTCGTATAGCTAACGAAATGACAGGTGACAATAGAGCACCTTCATTTCCCAAATTATTAAAATGTACAATATTTCTTTTAAAGGAACAAAACTTTTGTTTCTGTTTAACAGCAGTAAGAATGTTTATTGTATTAGTTTTTAATTATTTATTGATTACATATTTTAATATTTTCAGATTGTAAATTTATGATGTACCCGCCTTCCATGATTGCTGCCGGCAGTGTCGGGGCCGCCGCACATGGTCTTCTAAAAACCAATGACCTCAATGTACAGTTACTACAGAGACTGCACGACATCACAAGCATAGATGTGGTAAGTTCGATTTCTGTTTACTCTCATGCTTGTTCAAACAAATAGGTGATTTCTGTACTTCTCTTTAAGAATTAAGAAGGAAATGAACCCGTGAAAATTTGGCACTAATTTGCCTGAAGCGCGTCTCTTGCACTCATCTAACCTGGTCAATGTAACATGACCTTTGGCTCAAATCAATTGGCTTGTCAATTAATTTATGACACGTCTGTCTTAGCGGTCACAGGTTTATAACACCTGTGTGCTATGTCCAGACTTGACCCCCTAGCCGGAGACTGACCAGTGAATCTCTAGAAGTCAGGTCGTAAATAAATTTATTGTGATGTCCACAGCCAGAGCCCCAGGTTGCCTGCATATATATATCTTAGTCTTACGTAAAATGTGGGGCTTGTTTACCAAACTGTTTGGTGGCAACTTTTTGGAAGTGTATATTTGCTCCTGGAGGCCCGAGTCTCATTGCCCGCTTTTGCACGAAACTGTTAATTACAACTAATTAGCAAACCACAGTCAATACGAGTTAAACGCCAGATTTTAACCATTGCTTTCTTTTGCCCATACCCGCTGACACTTAGTATGATTTTCTTGTGTTTTAGGACTGCCTGCGGTCGTGTCAGGAACAAATTGAACAGACGCTAGCTACAAATTTATCCAGTATGGCGCAAACATCGGAAGCGCCAATGGTGAAAGTCGATCATCACCATCACCACCATTTGGAGGGTCAACCCACAACCCCAACTGACGTCCAGGATATTGTGTTTTAATTTCTAAAAACAAAAAAGAGACAAAACTTTTTGTTCCAATCGCTGCCAAGAAACTTCTGCATTTTGAGTCGAACCAACGAATATATTGTGTATACGAACTTTTGAAGTGTTTTCTACCTACGACCAGGAGCATTCGTTTCTACTGCTCCCAATGAATGTGACGCCACAATTGAGGAACCCGATGTTGTCGAACATAATTGACGTCACGTGGTTTCGTGTTCAGACTTTTTCTCATAAAACGTCACCAAGTTTGGGCGTTAACATGTGGCATCAGAGTATTATGTGTTCAAAAAATGTGATAAAAATAATGTAGCCTTTCCGATGTCACTGCTAACGTTCAACTTGGTATCATTTCATTCTCTTGTCTCAATTTCGAAGGGACCAAAAACCCCTGCGAAAATGTTTTCCGAAGTCTTGTTATCGACAAAGGCGTTCAAGCCTTTTGATATGTTATTGTATATAATGTTATATTAAGTTTTCATGTTTCAAAATGCCATTGACACAAAATAATCATTATTTTCGCAAATTCTACCCTTCCCCTTAAATGTTGTGTACGTTACCTCGGTCATAGATATTCACCATTTCAATTAGATCAGTTAACTTCATGAAAATTTTCAAATTTTTATTATTTTCTTTTTTAAGTCTGCATCGGCTTTTATTTTGTTAAATTGTGATTTTTTTTTCCAGAGCAAAAATTGCAAATAGTGGATTTATAGGACCGTGGGACCAATTAGTGCTATAGAATGAATGGTTTTGTCGAGATAGCCATTGTGTTTTCGAGTGCAACACGGGACAGGGTGCTAGAATAGAGGCATATTTAACGTTCTGCTAGATATCAACATCATCCCGATCGAAATTTTAAGAAAAAAAAAAATTCATCCACTCATCTGAAAAGAAAACGATGAAACCAGTTCAGGTCTCTCGTGAAATGTGTTCAAATATATATTTATTTTATATTTAAGTTAAAATATTTTTTCAACTTAGTTGGAAAACGATGCATTTTTGATATTTTGAATTAATTTATTTATTATTGAAGACCGGAGTATTTGAAGTTCGTTGTAACCCTTTCGTGCAGGAGAGCGTGGTATTTGTGCCATTTTATTTGCTTATGAAAATTTAAAATATTTCTATTTGTGATAAAAAAAACTATCCCAAACTATCTTACCTCTGATTATTCATAGAAAGTTTGGAAACTTGGGTACGAATTATCGGTATGTTTCTACCTCGGTTCGTCCTATCAACCCCGTAACTGAAAGTAACCTGACAGACTAACGCCGCAGTCGCCTAGAAGACGGAAAGCGGCTCTACGATACAAGATATATTTTTGTGTGATGAAATGCCTATCCATTTATTAGTATGTATGCTGAAAATCCAATCTATTTACTATTTTACTTTGCTGAAGAAGAGAACTTGTATTTATTTTTTTTAACTGATTGCCCAGTCGTGTGTGTTATAACAGTATATCGGAGCGCTGAGCCTAGTTAACATATAGGGCAGTTTGGGGTAGGCCGGTCCCCATAGGCAAGGCCTGTGTTTTTAGAACACAGGATTTGTATTGTTTAACAGGGGGCGCTCTGTTACACTTTTTTTTATCCCGCTTTATATTTTTGTCGCAGTATTTTTTTTATTTTACATAAAAAAGATTAAGTCTGATAGGCAGTGGCAATGGATATGATAGAAATATTGTCTTTCAAGGTAAAACTGCAAAGCTATAACGTCTGTGATAGAATATATTAATAAACTCTAGTGTACCGAACAGACTTTCGAGTTGACTGGTACAGATCTTGTAAATTTTCGTTTTGCGAGAGTCACAAGCCCGATTGTATGGATTATATAGTGGAGTATAAATGTGAGCAATACTGAGTTTGAAGGCGAATGTTGGGAATACATGAAGCTAAAGGAGACGTGGAAAACATCTTGTAGAATTGTCAGTGAATCAAATCGTTATGTATTATCTTTCGACAAGTTCAACACCACCAACAAGTGTTACTTCTATCGTTCATCTATGTTATATTTTCATGATTTTTTGTATATTAGAAAAAAATATGCATTTTTTATTTGAAAAGATAATCGATTGATATATTAAAGAAAATGAATTATGTTAATTCTATAGATTTGTTGACCACGTGCTCCATGGTGTATGAGAGAAATGGTCTTCGGGTACAATACGGAGATCGGTTTCGATTTTAGACAGTCGGGCCATATCGGGTGTGATTTGTCAGAGGGTGTGGTTTTTGTACCTTTCCTGTGTGAAAGGAGGGACCAAAAGTTTGGGACGGGGGACAGATTTGCCGCCCCCTATACCAAAAAAACAAACTGAGCTATTTTGTTTTATAGAAAGCAATAAAATGAAATGTTCAAAAATTCAAAATTTTCACGAGTCTGTTATAATTTGAGTATCGACATGAGCTGACGGAAAACTACAGACAGTATCATCCACGCAGTTACCTAGACATTAGATCGTCTAACATTTGACGAGTAAAAAGTTAATTTGACGAGAAAATAGAATGCTACCGGATGGAGTAAAAACATCTCGCATTACAATCTCCAAAAAGAGACAAATTGACCGGAAATGCACCTATTTACTAGATTTGACCGGCCTCGTTGCCATTCCAACAAAACGTGTCTATGTCGGGCACGCCAACAAGACTTGCGTTTGTAAGGCTTACTGCCACTCCGACAGGACTTCTGTTCGTCCGCTGCCACTTCAACAAGACTTGTGGTTGTCCGACTCTGCCACTTCATAGGACTTGTAGTTGTCCGGCTCACTGCCACTCCAAACAAGAGCGAGGTCACAACATCGCTGCCTGTAAGTAAAACAAAAGAAGTCTGCAATTAATATTTTGGACATTGAAAATGGAAACGAGAAACAGCATTATAGCTAAGCATGCATATATAAGTGCGGACTCTATAATTTTAAAGAATCATCTTTAATGAACGAATTTTCCATTCAAATTCAAAAGGTCATTTGGTGCTAGATAACGCCCTCCAAGCCGTGACCTAGGGTGTAGGTAAAGGTGCGAATTACACCAGTGTATAGTATATGCTGATTAAGTTAAATCTTTAAGCTTATTGTTTAAAATCTGGAAAAAATCAGGCGAAGTGATTATAGAGTAATTCGGGCTATAAAAGACCAGGCGAGACTTACAAATCATAAAAAGTACAACCGGTAGAGTATCACACATTTAATAAGTGGTCAAACGTATGAGCTACGTACAATCCATAGACCACGGCGATTTAGTATTTAAACGTATTAGCAATAAGTTCGGCAAACGAACTAAACATTATATTTCTGCTAATTCAGCATGAACTTTCTACACAACTATATCGTATTCACAGCATCGCTTAATGTTATGATATAATTTAGTAATACATGTTAAATAATACGTGTGTATAGTAATACATGTCTAATAATACGTGTGTATAGTAATACATGTTTAGTAATACGTGTGTATAGTAATACATGTTTGATAATACGTGTGCATAGTAATACATGTGTAAGTGAAACATAGAGGTCTTTATTACTAAAGAAATGATTTCTCATTTCAAAAATATTCACAGATTTTCTTAAAATGCGTGTAGAGCATCGTGTGATTCCACACCACTTGCTTTTCCTCTTAAAACACAGCTATGGGATTCTATAGATGAGATGATGACGATCTGTTTACTTGGAACAAAGGAGTTTTTTAAATTCATTCTTTGTTCAATAAAACTAAAGGGATTTTACACAACTATTAATAAGGCTTTTACCGGGTATGTCGCGAGGAAACACGTATCAAATATTATTGACATAGAAATGTTAAAGGATTATTGCTAATTATTTCTGGTCAAAATGCCTGCTGCTAATAGTTACAAAACTAATATACGTGACATCAGTTAAGTTTATTTGTTGTTGTAATTAGAAACCTATGACAGGGATGGCCGCCATTACTGTTACGGGAACACAAAAATAGCGCCATGTACCAATTCCACGTTCTTTCAGAGACTCTGTACTGGCCTAGGAATTGTTCGGTGAAATTAAACAGCTTTGATATTTTCAGTAAAACAACAACATCTAATTGGAGATGTTGATCAAGAATAGGTTTGTCTGAACAGTACATGTAAGATAATGACTTGCTAAGTGAAAATAATATGACATATGTATAGCCGCTATATATGATATCTATGATAGACATCTGTTTGGCAATGCGCCGCTGTCGTTATTCTTCCTCAATTGTTCTCCTTTATTTGGAACGCCAAATCGCACAAGACCTTCTTAGGGCAACAAAAATTTAAGACAGTTGACAAGTGGTTTAGTGCGACAAGATATCTAGTATCTTAGGACGATAACAAGACAGTAGAAGAGCGTTAAGACACCCGAGATGATTTTTAGGGCGACAACAGGAACATTAGTTGTCCTCAAACAGCTTGCTAATATTTTTTTCGTCCTAATACTAAAGACAAACTAGCGTTGTGGAACATGCTCAAGAAACAGAGAGAACAAGAATGGCGACATTATGTATAACTTTCTTGTTTATATCGAGGGGGAGGGAGGTCGCTAAGTTTATAATCAATCAATCAATCAATCAATAAACGATCAATGTAATTGAGGAGCCAGTATTTTGAGGACATAGGTTTTTGAAACTCATTTTTACCTCTCAGACCAAAACAGACATATGCACACAGAAAATAACTAAATGTCCCGCTTCATTCTTTCCTCGTCTACAAAATGGCCAGTGTTATTTTACATAAGCATTGATTTGTCATGTTCGTGGTGTTCGGGAGAAAGGTTTAGTGTTCTTGAACCAACAAGGATATGTCGGCAAAATACCTCCACGACACCGTGATGTGGCTTTACTGTGATAGAAAGGCCCGAGGTGTTCCGTATGACAAGGTCACTAGATGTTACAGTATCATACACAATTTTTATCGAATTATTCTGTCATGTATCTTCCTGGAATATTTATATTTCTCGGAATATCTCGCATGACAAAACTGTTTTAAGAAACCTTTTTAATGTGCATAATAGTCTGTATTACATTTCATGTGAAATGCATGACAAAGAAATTAGAGACGCTGAATGATATAAAATGTGTACCACTAAAGTTGGATTAAGTCGGAAAGAATGGCGCCATCATTGTTTCTATGGGAACCCCACACGAAGCTTCATTTTGCAGTAATGCTGTCACGTTGATTCTATACCTATCTTCGACATTATCTTCTAAATTATGACCACATTAAAATGTCAATTCTAATAAGAAATCATCTGCGTCAAACTGAACTGTTCAGTTATGGTCAGGTAAAGGTAAATAAAAAAATACAAACATAACATGATAATACAGTTTCACTTTTATTATAAAATAATTGCTCATTCTCCTTAAAAGGGCATATGGATTTGTTAACATGCTCCCCTACAACTCGTTAGTGTAATCGGATTGCCAATAGTATATAGCTTATAATGATTATTACGGACTAAGATTAAACTAAGTCGGTGACATAATTACAAAACCGAAATCTCTGTTATGTCTATGAATGGACCGCAATGTCCTCCATTCAGTACTTATATAGGTCGAAGTTTGGTCTACAATATATACATATATACGTGCATTGTTTACATATAGAAGTATGACTTACTAACAAAACTGTCATGTTGAAAAAAAATGACATCACAAAGAAATTTTTTTATATAGTTAAATTCTAATGGGTCATGGGTTATTAGTGTTGTGACGGAATTGATAATTATCTATTTTTAGTTACGGAGCGGTATCTCTTTGTCGCGTGAAACAGGTGCCCTGGAAATGGTTACGTCACTTTCAGTCTATCAACCATATGGCATCCCAGTGTTCCGATTCGGCACAACCCTGATAGGAAACTGTATTCAGGGCCAAGATAGGTACTCATTGTCCACCTGATCCACGATTGTCCTGATACTGGACATCAAAAGCAACACCTAATGTCACCGATCCTTGACCATAGTAGATAGCCCCTGTGGTGAGACAGCAGTGATAAACGTTAACTCCAATCTCACACCCAAATCTGACCTTAGGCATTAAACAGATTCAAAAGATTTTGTTCTCAAAACCATTCTTTATACATATATTTTTCAACGATAGCCATCGAACAATTATATTCTCTACATTAGGTGAGAGTTGTTAAATAGCCGACGGAATGATTTCTTAGCCAGTTTGTGTAGGGAGATGATGGATGATCCCGGTTAATCGTTATGTATATAGATACCAGGGTGTAAGTCAAGTTCACACTTTAGTACTGTCAGAGGTAGTTGACATGCTGGGAAATTATAACGATTCTGGGATTTATCATTCAATTTTACAAATATTATACAAAACCACGAAAGACAGAAGAAATTGTACTCGAATATGTCCAAAATAATACAACTGATACATTCACAGCATAGAAAAAAACCAATAGTTCTTACACATGTTTAGTTGTTTAAATCACAGTCTTCTATGTGCATTTTGTCTATTTCGCGATTGCCATTATCTACCTCTGTCGTAACAACAGATAGACCGATTTTCAACGAAACTACTTCCGGTCGAATGAATGGTCCAGATACATAATGATGAAAGACCGCCCAGATAGAATAAGTATAGGTAGATACTAAGTAAGATAAACACTCTCTGATTTCTGGTGTAGAAGAAACTATATATTACATCAGGGTTATCTCGTCATGTTGTGTAACACCGGAAGTTGACATGGAGGTCTGTTATCAAAGGTTTAGTGAGATGTGACGTCATATATTGGCCATGAATAAGAAACTGGGGTTATCTAATTTTTTTTATTGAAATGAGTAAGGTAATCCCAAACAGAACATTTAATAAAAGTATCGGCTTACAATTAATGCCGTTTTTGTCCTGATCAGGTGTATCACACACAAAACGTTCATAGTTTACATAATAAAAAAAGTGCGCTAATGCCCATAGACTCACGAGTCCACCATTCCTAAATCAGTGTCCGTCGTTATGAAAATAAGACGGACATCGGACCGACGACGACCTCACCATGGCATTTGGTAACTCCACCAGCGGTCTTCGACGATATGTTTGGCAAACTTCTTTTAATTTCTATTTAATGATATTTAAATGGTTCTCGAGCTGGCCAGCGTTTACAGTTAAAAGGTATCACTTCTACATATCAGATATGTACACGCTCAACATGTATAGAACATTCCGAGAAAAACAGGAAGTGGTACTAATATACTAATACAAGACAGATTACCGGGGCCACATTCCGGCGGATTAACGGAATGTAAAGTGCATACATGGGAGGGGGCGGTGTGAGGGTTACTCAAGTGGGGGAGGATAGGCTGGTTCTCGAATGTTTTAAGTAGAATACGGCATATACACAATGAATATAATAGTTTAGTATATTGAT